GACTACAATGGAAGACAGGAAGTTACCCCAAGGCAATTATTTCACAATAATTAACACCAACGGGCATTGAAGGGCTGCTAAAACCCCACAGTCAAGAATTCCAAGAGTGGAAACTCCAGTGGCCTCTCACAGGTTTTTAGAGTTGTCACCAGGGCAGTTTCTCCAGGACCTTTCTCACTCAGGCAAAGGGAGCTGTTCAAACACCTCTGTCCAGCACATGACCCCAAGCCTATTCTTTTTCAGAGAACACCTGCAGAATTAAGACATTTAATTGTTTCTGGTGCTGGGACCACGCTCAGGGTGTTTCACAGAATGTCAATGAGTCCAAAGGGTTGATGACAATAATTTGTGATAATGAGTTCAGCCACGGGCTCAAGTACTGGTGGCACCCTCCAAGGTGCTTTGCTAATTTGGGAGTGCTGAGGCTGCTTGGGCTTGGGTCTTCTCTAACACAACCAGAGCTTTTCCAGGACATCCCATCGTGTCCAAGGTTCAGCTTTCATCTGCAGGTGTGAACAACCAGAGTTTTGCAGCCCCAGCCCCAGCTTTGCCTTGGCTGCCCAAGGGGCACAGTGTGGTTGATGTTCCTCATCACTCAGGAACTGAGCTGGACAAGCAGCAAGAGTCCATTCTTACCTTAATAGAGAGCTCCTCTTCCTTTTGTACACATGTTCACATTTTCCAATCTCAAGAGTGAATAAACAAGGCCAGAGAGCCCATAATCTCTTCCATTATTTCTCTCTTGTGAAGACTGAACTTATTTTAAATTTTGAAGCAGACCTTCAGAACCTACTTTGGGTTTTCAATGTTTTCTCATAGTGAACCACTCCCAGAACCCCTCTCTCCCCATGCAGTAGTTATAAAGCATCATTAGGTCACTTGTGCACTGTAAACAAGGCAAAATTCTTCTACATATCACTGTGAAATAGGTTTTTTACCCTTAGAATTTTTCTCATACCTCCCAACTTTTACAGGGAGCCTTCTGAATACGTGACCTGGCCAGAGATGTTCAGTGACATTTGTCGCTCAGGAGAAACCCCCCCTTCCCCAGTTCCCTACTCCTCGATGTCCTCCGAGCAATTATCCCAGGAAACACAGATGCATTTTGATCTCTGACAGCAGCCAAACCTGTGCCAGCCCTTAACAGCTTGGAACACAACCTGCAGCCCCACAACCACCTCCCTGTGCCCCTACAGCACTGACAAGGGGCAGATCTGACCTGCCAGGCCTCCCCATGGTTCCCACCTGCCTTCAGGAATGTTTTCCACCCCAAGGACCTCACAGTGGGGCTCTGCCAGCAGCATCTGAGATACCTCCAGACTGAATTTCATCCTTTGCACTTCAACCATGAGTTTACAAGGTCTTTCAAAAGCCTGGCTCCTACTGACCTGCAGCTCTACCTCCTTTTTCTTTGCAGCCATCCCTCTGCAGGAACAGGGTCCTGTGAGCAGCCCTCCAAGCACAAGCACTGCCGACGTCCTCTGATCCCGTGGGTCCAACTGCTGGCCAACCTGCACCACAGAGAGAGCCTTTCACCTGGCTCTGATCCTCCACTCAGGACAAAGCACCCACAGCAGCATCCTGGCCCTGCTGCAGGGACAGGGGGTGGCTCAGCAGTGCCCAAAATCTGGGCACAGCTTTGCTCTTACCTTCACAGAGTCGAGGTGCTGCTGCAGGGCCTGAACTGCCGCTCGCTTCCAGACACAGCAGCCTGTCCACCTAGCCTGCAGGGTGGGAGAAGAGGATGGGCCCAGCAGGGCCTGCCAGGACCTGTGTCCAGCTGGCAGGGCCCCAAGGCTGCCATGGCAGCGCTGGCTCTGCTGGGGTAGCGTGTCAGCCCAGCCCGCCCCGCTCCCTCCTCCGTGCCTGCTCCAGCGAGAAGTTCAGCTCCGACTGCCCTGGAACTCCCCCTCCAGCAGCTGCACTTGGAACCTTTCTGCCTCCTCTGTCCTGTCACACCTGCCCAGCTCCCTCCTCCACCACTCACCCCCACTCCAGTTATCCCACGTCCCTCCTAAACTGGGGGTTCAAAGCAAGGTGTGGGATCCAGACCCAAGCAAGGGGATAACCTGCTGTCCCAGCCCCAAACACAGCTCAGTTTGGGGAT